CAAAAATGGCATACGTGAACAGAAAACAAACAAACGAAAAGGCTATTTACATCCTAAAGAACCAACAAGCACAGAAAACAAACAGTAAATCAGAAACCAAGGAACAAAAGACATTTAAGACAACCAAACAACAATCACTAAGATGCTAGGAATAAATCAACACTTTTCAATAACTACTCTTAATGTAAAAGGCTTAAATTCCCCAATCAAAAGACATACACTGGCTGACTGGATTAAAAAGGAGGACCCAACTATATGCTGCGTTCAAGAGACCCACCTCATCCATAAAGACACACATAGACTAAGAGTGAAAGGATGGAAAAAGATTTACCATGCAAACAGAAAAGAAAAACGAGCTGAAGTAGCTTGTCTTATATCTGACAAAGTAGACTTTAAACTAAAAACCATAAAAAGAGTCAATGAGGGACACTACATAATGATAAAAGGACTTATCCATCAAGAAGACATAACAATCATAAATATGTACGCACCCAATTTTGGAGTACTCAGATTTATAAAACAAACGCTATTAGACCTAAAGAAGGAAATAGAGACTAATACCATAATAGCAGGGGACCTGAACACCCACTGTCAATATTGGACAGATCATCTACGCAAAGAATCAGCAGAGAAACACAAGATCCAAACAATACTCTAGACCAATTGGACTTGGCAGATATCTACAAAACATTACATCCAACAACCTCAGAATATTCATTCTTCTCATCAGCAAACGGATCATTCTCCAGGATAGATCACATATATATTAGGTCACAAATCAAGTCTCAACAAATTCAAGAAAATTGGAATTATCCCATGTATGATGCAAATCAAAACTACACTGGGGGGGGTAGAAGACTTAACAACTACAACTCCTTGACATTGATACAACAAGCAAACAGAAAGGACACTGCTGGGTGGGAAGGGGGAGAGTGAGGAGGGAGCTGGGTTTCGGTAATGGGCCACAATAATCAACCTCATTGTATATCGACAAAATTAAATTTAAAAATAAAAAAATAAAAAGAAATCCAGTACTAAAGACACAGGCACACTTTAATGAGTTAGCAAACAGGGTAGAGACCCATTCAAAGCTAACTTACTATTTAACCTCAATCCCTTATACTTCCCTATGCTTTTTACTTCCTGGGTATAAAATGTTAATAACTGTCTCAAAGAGATCTGCAAAATACCTAACACATTGAAAATACAGTATGTAAAGTTAAATGACATTACTTAAACCTACTTCCATACTTTGATTTGAAGTAACAAATCATAATCAACAAATCCTGTTTTATGCTTTGATAAACTTGTGCTTACATCATTTTTCCTCATCTCTAACCACATTTCCTCCCACAACCAAAGCATTTCCATTAAATGTAGAAGTCACTTTATACAACCACAGAAAATATATCTTTTTAAAATTTTTATTTCCTTTTCCTTCTGATGGTGGTTTGGCTGACCCCACTTAAATTCGTTTTGTAAAACAATCTACCAAACTCCATTAAATAAGCTAACTCCTAAAAAATACACAAATAGATGAATACATGATACCAACATCACTAAGTTGAAACAGAAACCTTGGTATAAGAACCATGTGCTGTCTGCCAAGCCTTCATCCATCAGGATGGCAATGCTGTAAGAACAGGAAGCCCTTGTCAATTTTCAAGTAATTATTACAGGTTGTCTTAAACTAGCCACACTAATGACATAATTTACAGAATGAATTAGCTGGAGAAAAAAAGGCTATTTGAATCACAGCTGCAACGGCGTGGCTTATAACAACAGCTAAGAAACAGCCAATAGTTTCACTTCACAGGTATCACACAAAATACCTTCAAAAAAAAATTAAACATTAGATTGTGGGTAATAACATTAAAACACCAAGATACAAAGTAATATAATTTTGAATAGAAAAAAAATATAAATTGAAACTAAACAAAAACAAAAGGGACCTGGCTAAACGAAGTCAAATTTCTCACATGTCCTCTGCCTACAATATGCAAAAACTTCTAGCAAATACAAAAGGGTACCAAAAGATTAGAACACTATCTGTTACTGGTCAGGCAAGATCCATCTATCCTAGCAGCTATCTTATGTCTTCATGTTAAACATGTGATACAAGATTAACAAAGATATTATTAAGCCACATTTTATTTATGTGGTTAAATATCACAAAATAATATAAAATATCATAATTCTTGCTTTCAAGATTACACTTTCATAACATTCAAACATTCATGTTCAGAACTCAAAGCGTTCTTGTCTTCTGCCACAAAAGCCACTTCTAAGACAAATGGTATAAAGATGGTATGATTTTACTTACTCGCTTTCTTATGAAGTAACTTGTGAGTAGCCCAACTTCCTTTAAAACATTCCTAAAGGAGCAAACAAGGAAATTGGTGTCAGGTCTTCTTTAATTAGAAATATTTCAAGGAATGTTGCATAAAAAAAATAGTTACTGTTAACTTTATTTGCAAAAATCAAAACCGGAAACTTTGCAAATTAAATATTTGGAAAAAGCTCAACAAGTGACAAATATTCAAAATTTCACTTCAAAAGCAATTAAACTTTACTTCAAATAAGCAAGAAACATTAGCCTACATGTTAAATAGTAGTCATGGTTATATTTCAATTTTATATCACCAAATTATTTTGAAGTATTTGAAAAGAACCATTAGCCAATTAATCATACACTGGAAAAAAATAACAAGGAAAATTATGCAGATTATTCCATTACTTATAGTAGTTAGATTCCCAATCAGTCATGCACACACTAAAACCATCCATCTGAGCAGTTACCATTTTACCATACATCAACAGCACTAAGGCCATAATTTTGTGAGGGAAGGAACTATATCAAAGTTTAGTGCTATTGGTATGGCTAGAGTACTGAGCAGAGGAAAGGGGGTGGGAAAGTGGGAGGGTATGCAGGAGCCAGGTTGGAAGGAGGGCAGTGTAGAACATTGATCGCCAGTGTTCATGAGGTCCCTTGACTCCTCAAGGGCTTCTAAAAGGGCCAACTAGAGGCTTCCTGGCCCTTTCCATCCCAGGACGGAAGGCAGGCCTTGCCTTCTGTCAGCTAAAACCCATCAGGGAGGAGAATGCGGACAAACCATAAATCTACATGAGGGATTTTATTGAGTGATGAAAATATTCTACAACAGATTTGTGGTGGTGGTTGTACAACTTGGTTAATTCATTTAAAAAAATTGTTGGCTTGTACACATGAAAAGAGTGAATTATATGATAAGACATCCTGCAATAAGTTATATTAAAACCTAAAAAAAAAAAGCTCTTGTTATCTCTGCTCCACTGTTTTTGCAATGTGATACTCTGCCGTCACTTTCGCCACCACCAAGTCTCTCACCGGATCTGTCCCCTGGACTTTGGACCTCTCAGCCTCAGAAACTACTTCCGGTCAAGATGGCAGAACAGATGGTCCCTAGAGTCACTCTCTCCCACAAATCAACTGATTTAAACTATAAAAACATAACATCAAGTGCATATGGAACGTGGAGACGTCCAGTGGGGGAGGCAGAAGCTCTGCGGAGACCACATGCCCTACAGGGCCGCCGTTGCAAGATCCAGCAGATAAGCTTCACCGCCGCCACCTGGCTCCATTCCCAGCCCAGCCCAGTGCACAAAGAGTGGAGAAACATCTGACAGGGGAGGCGGAGGCTCCGCAGAAACCACACACCCTGTGGAGCTGCCACTGCGTGATCCAGCGGGTAGGCTTCACCTCAGGCACCCGGCTCCATTACCAGCCAGACTAGCACGCACGGAGCAGGGTGATGTCCAGCAGGGGAAGCGGAAACTCCACGGGGACCACACCACCGCTGCAGGATCGATCCAGCAGCCCGGCCCAATGTGTACGGAGCACAGAGACATCCACCAGGGGAAGCAGAAGCTCCATAGAGACCACATACCCTGTACGGGGGCTGCCGCCACACGATCCAGCAGCAGCGAGGCTTTGCTGCTGCCACCTGGCTCCATCCCAAGCCCAGCCTAATGCACACAGAGCAGGGAGACATCCAGCAGGGGAAGGGGAAGCTCCACAGAGACCACACGCTCTGCGGTGCCTACACGCATCCAAGCAGCCCGGCCCAGAGTGCACGGAACAGGGAGTAGTACAGCACAGGAGGTGGAAGCTCAGCAGAGACCACACACCCTGCAGTACCGCCCTGTTACCCAGCAGCCCAGCCGAGTCGAAGTTGACCAGAGAGGTGGCTCCCCAGAGAGGCCCAAGACCCAAGGCAACCACACATGCAAGGCACTAGTGGCCAACTGCGCAGTCACTGAAGTGGCCATGCCAAATTGGCAACCCCAGCAACATCCTAGCCAGACAATAGTGTTAAACCAGTGGACTGTGAAACCCCTACCACAATGATTAAACATCAAAGGAAAGATACCAGAAATATGAAAAATCAAGAAAGTACACCACCAAAAGGTAATAATTCTCAAGCACTAGATCCTATAGAACAAGAATCCCTTGAAATGTCTGACAAGGAATTTCGAGTGCTAATTCTAAGGAAACTGAATGCGATACAAGAAAACTCAGCTACACAAAATGATGAAACAAGGAAAAGTACACAGGATCTGAAAGAAGAAATGTACAAGGAAATCAAGGCCCGGAAAAAGAATGTAGCAGAGCTTGCTGAGCTGAAGAATTCATTCAGCAAAATAAAAAAAACAACAGAGAGTTTAACCAGAAGGCTTGCAGAAGTAGAAGAGAGAACTCCTGACCTTGAAGATGGGCTGTTGGAAATAACACAGGCAGACAAAAAAGAAAAAGGAATTAAAACCACTGAAGAAAACCTAAGAGAGATATCAGACAACCTTAAGTGCTCAAATATCCGAGTCATGGGTATTCCAGAAGGGGAGGAAAAAGGAGATTGCATTGAAAACATATTCAACAAAATAGTGGCAGAAAACTTCCCAGGTACAGGAAAAATCAAAAGGTCTTCTCCAAGACATGTTATAGTCAAATTGCCAAAACTCAAAGACAAAGAGAGAATCTTGAGAGCTGCAAAAGAGAAGCATCAAATCACCTATAAGGGAGCCCCAATCAGACTAACATCAGACTTTTCAACACAATCCCTA